CCGAATCGACACCGGTAACGCGTCTCCTGTCAAACAACGGATGCGACGCACTCCCGCTGTATTTCAGGGGGAGGAAGAGGGTCATCTTGATAAGTTGTTAAAAGCCGGAGTCATCCAGCCGTCTTCCTAGGACTGGGCGTCCGCCCCAGTTCTGGTCAGGAAGAAGGATGGCAGCGTCCGTTGGTGCGTGGATTATAAAGCCCTGAATAAGGTGACAGTCAAGGACACGTACCCTCTGCCACTCATCGAGGAGTGCATGGACACGCTAGCGGGAAACCGCTGGTTTTCCCAAGCTTGACGCTAACGCGGCTTATTGGCAAGTCAAAATAGTTCCGAAAGACCGGAAAAAGACTGCCTTTATAACAAAGTATGGCTTATTCGAATTTACTAGAATGGGGTTCGGTCTGTGTAGTGCCCCCGCGACCTTCGCTAGGGCCATAAATTTGGTGTTACACAGACTTAACTGGAAGATAGCTTTAGCCTTCTTAGACGATATCCTAGTCCTAGGATCTTCGGCGCAAGCTCACCTTGATAACCTGCGACAAGTGTTTGAGCGATTCCGAGCGTATGGTCTCAAATTCAAGCCTCGGAAATGCGAGCTGTTTAAGACTAAGGTTGAGTTCCTTGGTAGAACCGTAAGCGAGCACGGAGTTGAGATGGGGTATCAGTACATTGAGTCAGTGCGCGACTGGCCTGTTCCGCGTGATATTAAGGGCGTAGAGCTTTTTCTCGGCTCCGCCAATTATCACCGCAGTTTTATCCCTCACTTCTCCAGAATTGCGGCACCGCTGTATGCGGTTACCGGGAAAAGCGGTTTCCTGTGGGGTGACGAGCAGCATAATGCTTGCGAGGAACTTATTCAGTTAATGACTCAGTTCTAGCGATACCGAACAGTACAGGTCATTTCATCCTAGATACTGATGCCTCGGATTATGCCGTAGGCGGGGAATTAAGCCAAGTCCAGGGTCGGAAAGAAAGAACAATAGGGTATGGGAGTGCTGTGCTCTCCGCAGAACAGCGCAGGTATTGTACTACTCGCAAAGAGCTATTGGCGGTTAATAAGTTTACAAGAAAATTCCGCCACTACCTGCTGGGTCGCGAGTTCACGGTCAGGACCGATCACCATAGCCTGGTCTGGCTGATGAACTTCAAGCATCCGCAGAACCAGATCGCTCGATAGCTCGAAGAACTGAGCCAGTACAATATGCGGATCGTACACCGCCCGAGGACGAAACCTGTCAATGCTGACGCGCTGTTCCGGGACGTACCCGATTCATGCCAGGGGTACTCGACGAGAATTAGGGTTGAAGATTTGCCGTGCGGCGGATGCCGTTATTGCCGCCGAGCCCACGAGCGCTGGCATGACTTTAACACCGAAATAGACGATGTAATTCCTTTGTCCCAACTCTTTTACGAAACGCCTGTGCCAGCGGAAAGCCCGTCCCTGGGGGGGGGGGGGTAACTTTGATTCGTTAGATCCCACTCTCCGTCAGGCCATTGTTTCTAGTTCTTGGGAAGATACTCCCTTGACTGCAGGTGCGTCCTCGCTACCCAGTTTTCAGATTAATGTCAGTGGGGTGTCGAGTCTAGATCCCAAGATTGAGACAGTTAGTCCTCAAGTCTGTCAGTTAACAGGTGGTACTACGGGAATTTCCCTATCTTCATGCAGTTCCGCAGATATAGCTCAGAAACAGAGAAATGATGAAGCTATAGTATACCTGAGACATTACTTAGAGTCTGGAGCTTTGCCTACCGAAAACGACTTAATCATTTGCAGTCCGGAAGAGAAGTGCTATCTTCTGGAACGAGACTGTTTCTATCTCGATGAGTCAGGTGTTGTTTGGCGAGAACCCGATGACTCGGATGCGCCCCGTCGGCTACTCGTGCCACGGAGTCTCCTATCCGAGGTCATGCACATATGTCATGACATTCCGTCCTCTGGTCACCAGGGAATCCAGAGAACTAAAGAACGACTTAAGCAACAGTTGTGGTGGCGCATGACTAAGGACATTCAGTTATATGTCAAGACTTGCGATGTATGTGCGAAATCTTCACAGATCAGGGCCGTAACTTCGAGAGCGAGCTGTTCTAGATCTGTAAGATTTGCGCCATGTTAGGGATACATAAAGCCAGGACCACACCCTACCGTCCGTCAGGGGATGGCCAGGTAGAGCGCTATAACCGCACCCTAATGGACGCGGTTCGCTGCTACGTAGATGGCCAGCCCAAGTCATGGGATAAGTACCTAGGCCCATTGGCGGGAGCGTTGCGGTCCGCGGTAAACCGCCATACCGGGTATACTCCAAATCGTCTCATGCTGGGTCGTGAAGTAAATATACCAGCAACCTTGATGTTCGCCCCACCGCCTTCCACGTCTTTTCAAAATGGGGAGGAGGGTGAGGTGGACAGATATGTACGTGACCTAGAAGAAAATGTTCAAAGCGCGCATGAAATTGCCCGCGGGAAACTAAAAGTCGCGCAAAAGGCAATGAAAAGGTCGCATGACATTAAGGTCCGCACCAGCAAGTTCAAGGTTGGAGATTTGGTTTACTGGCGCCGCAATGAGGGAAAAAGGTAGAGTCAGTTTGGAGGGGTCCTGGGATTATAATCGAAGTCAAATCGGACACAATATTCGTAGTCAAATCTCGGCGTGAGGTCAAAGTTATGCACCATGACAAGCTTAAGAGGTGCGAGTCCAGGCAACTACCTAAATGGTTAAATAATTATCAGAAGAATTTGCCCGGACAGTCAGTAGCCCGAGATGGGAACAGTTCTCCTGTTCATGACATGGTTGCACCGCTGGGAACCGCGGATTCAGGAACAAGTCCTGAGAGCCCGGGGAGTGGGGGTCACCCGAAAGTAAGCCCCAAGCCAGCGGAGTCAGTAGGTCCGTATATGGGTACTCGTACACGGGTTAGGAAAAGACAAGATCAGCCCGTACAGCCCACGTCGCCCCAAAGACCTAGAGCCACTAGCACTATTGTATTAAAAAGACCCTGAGAATCCAACAAAACCCTGAGGAAGTACTGAGTTGTACTGAGAAAACCCTGAGTGGTACTGAGGCTACTACTGAGATTCTGTGGTAGTCCTGAGATGCACTGAGGTTTTGACTGTGCATTCTGTTGTGCTACTGAGAAGCACTGAGGTTTGGACTGTTGATACTGTTGAAGTACTGAGGGGCACTGAGGTGCTTCTGAGGGAACTGAGCTGATACTGAGTGATACTGAGGTTTTTTCTGAGGCTATGAGGACATACTGAGAGGCACTGAGGTTATTTTTTTCTATAAACAATGTCGAACTTGCATTATGAAGAACATTTATACCTCTATATTTAATCAGTAGATTATTTTACTTGAAAGTTTAGCATTGTCGTAGTTTTGTTGAAATGACGTCCTCCAACTTTTGTAAAATGATGCCTTTTATTACCTGCAGGTTGTCAAAAGATTGCTAGCATGTATATACATTCATTTTTTTCTCTCTTTTCTTTGCAAAACCACTTTTTCTCTAATAATTGTTTTCTATTTGTTTATATATAATTTATTTATATTTAACTAATAAGTTATTTATTTATTTCGTTCATTTACTTACTAGTAATACATTGATAATAAAAAATAATTATTAATATATTAATCCAATTATCTGTCTGTTCATTTTTATTTATTTATTTATTTTTATTTTTATTTATTTTTTTTTTTTTTGTTATTATTTTTTTTTTGACATTTATCTGTTTGGTGGCTTATTATATTATAATTTAATAAATTGTTAAATTGTTTAGAGAGAGAGAGAGAGTGTGTGTGTGTGTGTGTATGCTTCTAAATCCCCACCCTTGAAACACAAGCACGAAACTGTGCATGTAGTGTTACCATATCAAATGTTATCTAATTTCTTTTCCATACTCTTCTTCATTGGATTGATAGATAATGCATTTCTTTTCTCTTTTTTCCGATTTATAAAAAAAACTTTTTTCTGTTTTTTTTTTTCAATGTCAGCCATTCATGGTCTGCATTTGCATTTGATCTATTTTTATGCAACTTGAAAATCAAGTTTCTCACGTGTTTTTAAAAATATGGATTGCATTTATTTTTTTTCCCCCTTTTATTCATTCAAGCACGCATCCCAAATAATGCAGTGATCTAAAGTCAGTGAGGATTGGAGGGCAAAACCAATTTAAAAAAATATTCCTGTCGTTTCATCTCGCAAATACCATAACTTCAAGAAAGCTATTTTATTTTTTCTCATTTTTTTAGACATCAATATAATTATAACAATTTTTGCCCACAAAATGTTTTTTTTTTAATTTATAATACACAAATACCTTACTTCTGGAACCCTTACGACTCAGACCTAGTTTGCCTAGTTTGTTTATAAATAATTTTTTTTTCGTTCAAGGAAACAATCATATGTGTGGACAGATGATTATGAATAATAATTATAAATGACTTCAAAAATAACTAACACTCGGGATGGTTGGGGCCAACTTGGGGGACAGCTATTCACATACATTCAAATTGTACAGTACGTATTTGTAATAGTTTATCTTCTCTCTATATCTCTCTCACTCTTGAAATGAGTAGTGGATTCGATTAAAATACATTAGACTATGGGGAAATATTTCAAAATAAATATATTTATAGATATTCTTTCAGAATAATCTCCGCGTGTTTACACCTTTTTAGGTATTTAGACTTCACCTTTAACAACTCCTTTCGTGTTTTTAGATATCGGAAATACTTTACAGTTATTTCCCTTTCCCACGTTAGTTTGTGCACATGGCATGGCTAGGATATATTGAACTCTGAGCTCAAATTTAACAATTACAACCCATATATTGAAAATGGATCTTAACTGCACACACGCTAAAGGAGATTTGCGGGGAAGAATATACCGGATATACAAATTTAGATGGAAGAACATCCAACGGTGGAAATTGTCTCTTTTCAGTCACTGAGTCAGTCAACACACAACACCTGAATTTGGTAAGATTGATTTATTGTTTTCATTTTTAAAAATAGCTACTATTTTATTACATTAATATTGATAAAATACATATGAAAGAATGCTGCAAAACACACAAACATCATACCGAGAATCAAATGTTTATAGAGTTAATAATAGTTTATGCACTACGGATTCACAGTCAATTGTTCATGGGAACGCACGTGTTGACATAACTACAAGGACTTCTTCTTGGTCAGCTTGGCCAGGGGAATGTCACTGTCCGAGTCGCTGTCAGGCTCAAAACCTCTGTTGTCTACTCCACTGAAATTAAGGGAAAAACAAAATTAAAATAGGGCATCATTTTCACAAATTCAATCAGTAGCTAGGTGTTTTCTTTTTAAAATAAATTTAGTTTTATTTTGATATTTCCTGTGTAAATTTTAAAATTTGTATTCAAGTTTGAGTGTCTGTTTTTTGATGTTTTTTTTTTTTAAGAGGATCCAGTAGTTTTAAGCATGTTAAGTACATGTACATATTTATTTTTTAAGTGCACATATAATGACAATTCAGATTTTCTTACAAGCAAGCAAAAGCCATTTATATTTTTGATTTCATAAAATTAATCCTTTTATGTTCATAATTTAAAAACACTTATAATCTAATGATTGAAAGTTCATATCTCAAGACAAATGTTGTTCATGTCAGTTGCAGCTAAGTAAACTGGTAAAGAAAATAGTGGAAGAATTTTTACATACATTTCCTCTGTATCTTGGAGAAGCAGCACATTTTCCTTGTTGGAATGTTGTCGCTTCCGTTTCATGAGTTTCCAAGCAGATTCATGATTCTTTTGGGCTTCTTCTCTATAAATAATATAACAGTTTTAGGAAAAAACAGAAACACCAAAAAAATGAATGCTTTTAACATATATTTACATGTAAGGGCTACAGAGAGAAAGAGTATATATAAAGTAATTAATATAATTAAGGACCATCTCTACACTGCACGCTAATTTCAGGGTACTTGCGTGTAGTTAGACTGACCCCACCCTTTGACGAAAAAAAGAATAAATTGTAATCCGCATTTTTTTTAAATAAGTCTATCTATTCTAAATATTATGTATATATGAACACACTGAGTAATTAATATAATTAATTAATATTACATTGACATTTGTTCAATTCTGAAAACAAACTTATAAATGTAGTATTTAATCAGTGGTATATTGCGTAGTTCTATTTAGAGAATGACCGGTAAAATGTTACTTGTTTAAAAGCCTTTATTTTAATTTAAAGATAAAAGCTACCTCTTTTTCGCATAATATCTCTGCCACTGCATCGCCTTTTGAATTCTTCTCTTTAATTTCTGGCAATCAACGGTGTAGTTGGGGAATTTCTGGGATATGATGACCTTGACTTCATCCAGGACAGAAGAGAAGGAGGTGGTGTATTTTCCACTGGTTGGCAGAAGTCTCTCCAAAGTTGCATTGATGAGTCTCTACAAATATCATGAATATTACAAACATTGACCCATTTAATTAAAAGTGCTAAACAGGTCATATTTTTAAAAATATATATATTTCTTTATTTCTTATAATGAGAATGATAATTTATGGCAGGGACAAAGCAACTAAACTCAGGAAACCTAGATAAAAACTGTCTGCATATAGAAAAAGAATGCCAGTTATTCATTTTTGAAAGTTAACTTTTAAATTTGAGAACTTAATTTTAAGAGGCAGTGGATAGACAGACAGTGTTGAAAAATACGTTGACTTTATATAATTACATTTCTAACAATATTTCTATTTATTTATTTTCTCTGTGATAACTCTTTGAAAGTTATTTGAGTTCTTGATTATTCTACTGGAATACATATATTTCACCAAACAAAGCTAATGAGCCCTAGCTAATATGCAGGTAAATCTTAATTGTGCAGCTGCATGTCTTTGTGCCTGATGTCACTCGACTGAGCGAGGACTTTAATTGACATGCAGGCCTCATATAATTTAGATCTTTTCATAGTCTACATTTTTAAAATCTAAATTTACAATTCTATTTCTCCATGAAATGGAAATATAAGGAACCACTGTCTAGTTAGTAGAGTATGCCAGAGACAATAATGAAAATTGGAAACATGGGATAATTTATAAGCATAATCATGATTATATGTTTGATTTCCATTAACAGAACTCTTCAGAATTAAAGGAGCGCTTAATTATCATCTAAGTGCACATGCCTCGAAAATGTAATCTTATTCTTCTCAGTATACAGTGATTCCTTAAGACCTAAACTATACTTGAACATGTTTACACCATTTCTGTCATTTTGTTTATCACTATGAAGTATAACTGGTTTATAATTACCTGTACCACACCATGCTCAAATGTCCCCTTCTTCCACATGTTGTCTGCATCTAATGTCTCCTGTGGAAACTCAAAGTTGTTGGTTTGGGTAGATGCATTGGATTTAGGTTGGTTACAGGAACACACGGTTCCCATACTTAAACGAGCACAACACACACACTGAAATGTACATTTTTGCACAGGTTGGTTGCCTTGATGCACAGAGACACCTTGTATACTAGGTCCAAGATACTGATAAGTATAGTCAGAGTCACTAAAAGTAAGGGTGTTGAAACTTGAAGAACTCATCTTGGCGTCACACGTGAAGGCTCCTTTTTACAATTTGGTTTGGATTAAAAGTGAAATATAGGACTTCACAATTAACTACTTGCAGTACTTCACTGTGTTTTCATAGAACAAATTATCATCTCAATGTCAGAGGTTGTTGTGATAACCAGGTACCCCTTTTGTTTTTTTAGCAATCAACAGATCATTCTGATAATCTTTGATACAGGATAATTAAAATACTAAAATGCTTATCATCATGATCATTGTAATCATAATTAATATGTTGTCTAGTAATTTTAAACAAGCTTGCTTTCATTTCTTTTCCAACACATTTTTAAGTACAAATCAAAGAAACCAACATTTAAATTAAGAGATTTTTTTCATTAATTAAAAATTGAATCTTATTTAATGAATTGACCCTGGTATTTTGTTGTTCAGTATTACATATAATTATTAAAAACCACGTATAAACTAAGCATATATATTTTAAATAATTTTAATTTTGAATACCAGTAATTATTGGTAGTGTAGAATTTTTCAACATACATCTGTACATGTATAATCTAAGAAAACATTCAAGATACCTTCACATTTTAATGCTGTTTTTAATATATATATGATACAAATGATTAAATTATCAAATAATAAAGAAAAATCACATAATAAAGAAAAAAAAATTGGAGCAGCATTTATTGAATTAATTCCTGTTTCAAAAATGTCAAATGAGAAAAAATATTCAGGAGACTTTCTTCTTTTCTTTTTTTTTTTTAAATTAATTCACATGATGAAGCTCCCATGTTTTAGCTGTCATTTTACTATGTTTTTTAATCATCAATGTAAAATAACAAATCTAGACACTGACTGTGAGTTTCACAACAGAGGGTGGCTGAAACAGTCCCTTTGATCAGCTGCCCTTTGATGTGTATACACAGAGCTACTGTGTTAGTTGGAAGTTTCACACAGAGCAACTGTGTTAGTTGGAAGTTTCACATCACAAGCTTTTTGTGTAAGTCCAATTCACAGAGTGATTAACAGTCATCTCTCATAACTACTGAATCAGTGATAGAGAGAAGATGGGTTAACTTTTGTTTTGAGCAGACATGATCTGTTTCTATATCTGTATTTTATACTTCATTTGTTTTATCCCCAGTGAAGTAATGCAGAAATCAGATGGTAATTTTGGATTTTTTTTTCTCAAAATTTAATTATATGTAAATAAAACATGCAGATCAATCCTCAAACATTGAAATTAATTAAAACTTGCAATTTCTTTTTCAATTTTATTTCTTTCAATTAGTGAAATGTGTTAATTTTAATGTTTGTTTTTTGATTTTTTTGTAAGTTGTGCATATCAATTGAACAGCAGAAATAATTGATTTTTTTTTTTACAGAACAGCAGAAATTTTGCCTGTGTCAGAAGTGTGAGGGAAAATGGATTCCCAGATCAACTTTCTACCACCATGAAAGACAGTATGTGAAAAGTATTAGTGCCCCGATAGTACCAAAATTCCCATATGATGAGGCTATTTTCACAGATTGCAGATTCCAGCAGCCATTATTTGAAGGATCAACAACTAGCGTTTTAGATGCAGTGACAAAACACATGTACATATTTAGTATGAACCATGGCATGTCAAAATCAGCAGTGTCGGATTCCTTGGCCTGTGAAAAGTCATCACTTCCACAACCTAATTGCCTGCCACAGTCATTCCGAGAAGCCAAAGATTTCATATCGCCACTCCTGATGCCTCTTGAGAAGTATGATGCCTGCGTCAATGACTGCATACTTTACAGAGACTTAAAAGACAAAGAATATTCCAGTTTGCAGAATTGCCCTATCTGTGGTGAACCAAGGAAAAAGAGAGGAGTTGTGCAGAAGAAATACACTTACATGCCTTTAGGACCAAGACTGAGTCGCTGGTTTGGGACTTCTAACTTGTGTAAATTGCTTTATTCAAATAGAGGAGTCTCTGCAAATGGAAATCTAAGAGACTTTACCGATGGCAAAGTGTACAAGTCCTGGTTCGAAACTGGAGGGGTCTTCCAAGGACAGCAGGAATGGCATACAGTTCCATTGTCCCTATTCACAGATGGAGTCAATCCTAATAAACACATGACCAGTCAGAAATCCATGTGGCCTCTCATTCTGACGTGGATCAACCTACCATTTGAAATTCGCCAACTTTTAGGACCTATGCTGTTGGTAGGAGTAATTCCCAGTGGAATTAACGGCAGTGAGCCAAAGTCCCTGGAGCCATATCTAGAACTTCTAATTGATGAACTTCTATCACTTTCGGAATTCACACTGTACAATGCGTATGAAATGGCACCGATGAATGTGAAAGTGGCATTACTTCAGTACCTGTGTGATATTCCAGCATATTCCAAAGTGTTTCATCTGTCTGGACATGGTGCACTGAGATCTTGTCCGTACTGCCGAGATGTAGGAGAGTATTGTAAACATCTGCACAAGACTATCCATCTCTCAAATCGTAGGTTTCTAGATTCGAATCATCCCCTGAGGTCTGAGGATGGCTTTGGTAAACGTGGTTGTGAAAGGGAGCAGAAACCAACATCTTATACATGTGAAGAGGAAGCTGAGCTGCGCAAAGAATTTGAGCTGAAAAGAAATAAATCCCAGAAAGCTAAACACCAGAAAGAAACCGGTCTAAAAGGAGAATACTCCCTTCAGAAACTTCCGTACCACAATAGGATGCAGCAGATGCAACCAGACGGGATGCACACCTTTGCAGACTTTGTGAATCATGTTTTAGAAATGTTGACTGGAAAACTGAGTTCAGAGAAAGTCTTACATTGTGAACATTCATATGCACGATTTACAGACATCGTAGCGGACGACGAGCAGCTGGAAAGTAGGCCAAAGAAAAAGAAGACTGACAAGACTCAAACTTCACGCCAAGACAGTTCACGAACAATTCCATGGGAACTTACAAAGAAGCAGATTAAGGAAGCTGACAAGAGGGCCTGTGAAATAGTATACAGCCAAGCTAATGGGATTACACCTGGGCCACATTTCTCCAAGCCCTGGACATTGAGAACTATGAGTTCCAAGTTACAGGTAATAATTTACAGCTTGTAATTGTGAAGTTACTTATTATCTAAGCCGATGTTTTTTAAATATTATGAAATATATGCATGGTCGTTAAAGTATCAAGGACGTCATTTTCAGTTTTTATCCTTTTTTTATGTAAATAATGTAATGAACATTCAATATTAGTTTATATATATTAATCATTGTTTTATGGAATTTTTTTTTTTATAGAAATGCAAAATGCAGATTAATATTCTGTATGTTCATTTACAGATCCTTTGATTAAAACAATGGTGTCTTTTTTCAGTTTGTGACTACTGGTGGGCTTCAGTGGTGTATCAGAGGATTTTTACCTCCAAAGCAAGAAGAAACTCTTTTCTTTGTATTTGATACCTTGAAGAGAGTTATCTCCCCATCCATTCATCAAGCAGCCATTGAACAGTTGCAGATTGATGTTCATCATGCTCTGTGTCTAGTGGAGAGGGATTTCCCACTGTCACTCCAGGTAACATTTGCAAATTGAATTTTAAACTTGGATATTTTTTTTTTGTTCACTGTAATCCATCAAATAATTTTTTTTGGTGGAAATCTTATAGACAGTCTTAAATAGTGCAGGTACTTAAAAAAAAATTATGGAGAGTCAACTTATATGGAAATTATTTATGTATCAGCTTGATGAAAATTTTCTTATTATTTCAGAATTTGACTACACATCTTATACATCACATCGTGGATGGTCTAGAAGAATTTGGCCCAGTTTATGGTCGTTGGCTGTTTCCCTACGAAAGGGCTAATGGATGGATTAGCCGTCAATGCTTGAGAAAAGGTGTCGAGGAATCAACTGTGATGGAAACATATGTAGTAAGTTTAATTAAGTATTATTACTATTTTTCCAAAGAAAATTACTATTAAATGTAATCATGGTAATAGTGTTTCTTTGTTGATCAATTCACAGGATGTTTCTCATTTTTTTTAGCTCTTTTTCAGAAATATTTTTAAATTTTTAGTAATGAAATACAGATTCCTTAATGTCATGATAGAATAATAAAGAGTCAAATGGACTGTGTATTATTATGAAAATATTGTGAGAAAATGTTTAATTTCTTACTTCTCGTAGCTACTGTATCTCACCTGTAATGTTTTTGTTTTAATCTTTTGAAAACTCATAATTTGCATTGTATTATGAAAGGTTTCTTTTTCTTCACAATTTTCATTCTTTATTTCAGATTTATGACTGGTGTGTTCACATGGTGTTGTCTCAACGCTTCAAGCCTTCCGAGATATTCAACTGTGACAACAAACTCACTCACCTTTCAGAGAAAATTGCATCTGAGTACAGCGAGTCCCCAACATTGGAGCCGCAACCGTTGTCGCCGCCGCCACCAATCAGCAACAAAACTCGGCAATTGACTCCACAGATGAGCCAACACATGATGACATTCTACAAGTGCGCCCTGAACATCAACATCTTGAACTTTGATGAATTTGTGGTAGAAAATGACAAAAGCTGTGACTTTGTGGACATTAATGGACGGTGTCATAAATTCATTGCTAAGGGTTGTAAAAGAAGAAAGACTTCTATTGTGAAAGTTCCTTGCTCAAATGGGACCCAGTTCGGAGAAATCCATTCCTTTCTTCTGCATCGTGTGAACAGAGCTACTCATCATTGGGTTGTGTTGGACATATTTCCCCTTGCTGACAACGATAAAGGACATTTTCATTTCGATTCAATCACCGTGTGTCAGAGACTTGTCCACCTTAGTGCTGTAAGCAGACCTTTAGCACATGTAAAGACAGCAGAGGGTGTCCTGTGGGTGTTGGAAGAAGGCTGACTTTGTGTGTTATATGACTGTCAAGATCTGAGTTGATACATCATATATGTATGTGTTATTAACAACTTAAGCTTCAAGTGTCTAATGATATACTATTGAAATATCTGTCATGTTGTAGCAAGTATGTGTTTGGACCTCACAGTCATCTATTTCCCTTTATTTGTGTATATGAACATATAAACGTCCTGCAAGGCTATTTTTGTACACTACAATTTATACACTAATGTACCTATTCTATGAGCATACAGCAATATGTCATCAAAGAGTCCTTCCATAAAGTCTATTAAGGTGTTACTTTGTATTATTTATTTCTACTTGGTTTGTATTCTGTGAAAAAAAATTCTTTCCGTCATTCAATATATCAGTATTTTACCTTAAATTAACATGATGTGAAGGATGTTCATTGATTAGCTACCCGGTAAATATTTATGAAGCATGTAACATAATTTATATAAATGAACATGACTTTACTATGATATCTGCGTTGTTTTATGTTCATCAATTCAAATGGTTGTGTAACTTTGATAATATTGATTACACAAAAAGAATAAAGAGGTGAAAAAAATGTTTTGTTAAAAAAAAAAAAGATTTACCTTGCAGTAAATAAGGTATTTGGAAAATTATTTAGGCAAGCTCCCAAATAAAATATGAAACAATGACATCATAGCAAAGAGTAAATTTAGGGTTACAGGTTCTCCTTGTACCAGTTTTTGTATAGGAGATGGAAAGCTATTGCAATATGCCTATGAATTATGAGAAAAAGGTATATACGTATGAAAGATGGGGATTTAATCCCTGCTTCTTGATATGACTACATGTTTGATAAGCTTATTAAAGGTTTCGCATATAAATAATACTATATTAGTATTTAGTTGTGTACGAGCTTGAATCAACCAGAGCTTGGGTCTCTTAAGGAGGGATGGAGGAGTCAATATATTAAATATCCATCTAGAATAAATTTAAAAATAAATTAAAGGAGACTTGAAAAGTTTTAGTTGAAAAAAGGGGGGCGGTATGTGAAAACTTCCTATTAGAAAGGTACCGTGCATGTCAGTGTAATAAAGCAGAGCGGTCAATCAACAGCTACATGTAGCAGAAAAGATATTTGGGAATGTGTCAACCTTTCCTTGTTTTGAAGATAATCTGCAGTTACTATTTTCTAAGCTGGGTTTGCATTTCAATTGACAATTGAATTGAATTGAAAATGCATGTACGTATGATATAGAATACACTGAACAACAAGGAAAGAATACAAATGAATATGTAATGCTACCATTATCTGAGCTCGGCTATTATTATCAGGTCAGCTTTAAAATGATGAAAAAAAAATTGGGTCAATGGGTGAAAAATTAATTTTTATAAAAAACAGAAACGTTGATCCATGTATAAAAAATAAACAATGAAAATTCAGGGATCCGGGTATTATATATACTGTACTGTGTTTAAAGACCTTAACATATTTATTTATAATATTTTTCAATATTGATATCCCGAATAAAAAAGTAATAGAGGAATACTGTATTTCGTAATTTTCAAATCTTTTTTAATTTGTGCCGTTTATAATAAATGGGCATCTAAGTGAATTATTTCAATCTACTAGTATTTTTCTAAAGTAATTATTGTAACTTCGGGTACGCCAATTGTTTTTAATTTTTGGCTTTTTTATTATCCCTGAACAGGAAATTCTTGAAATTCAGCCATTTGCATGTTGAGTAAGGAATCGAAATATCTAATCTGCAACAAGGACGTCTTTCCTAGCTTTATGGGGCCCATTTACTAAAGGAGTAACGGGTTCAAACTACCACTAGCTTTTCTTTAGAAATATTTATCTGCTAATGTAAAAGAAACAGGGACGTAGCAACAGGGGGGTGGGCAGGGGGTCTGCCCGCCCCACTTTTCCCCCCAACATTATCTTTACTATTGAAAATGTCTATTGAAAGGTTGGTTGGCCCCCCTACTTCTTACCATATTATTATGATATCAAGGATATGAAGTATTGTATAGAAAAAAAAATAGCAAAAATAGTAAAAAAAAAAAAAAAAATAGAATTTTCGAGTTAACTTTTTCAGGTAACTAAAAAAAAATTCTCTTTTTCCCCCCCCCCCCCCCCCCCCCCCCCCCACTTCCAAAAACGATGCTACGTGCCTGAAAAAAAATTAATTATTTTTTTCTTTATTTTAATAATTTTGGTTTGTGTACCGGAATGTATATAGGGCGACTATTCACACGGTGCAGAAAAAGTAATTGGACGCGTGGCCAGATATTTGTTTTGAAAACAATCAAGTAGCACAAGTACAGGTTGCGGTACGCATGCATGTAATTGGTCCGTCAATCAAATCAAAAGCTTTTATTTTAAAAATGATTGGCAGGCGGTACATTAATGAATGGTCTTAACTTGGGTATAGATTTTTGTGGCGTTGACATAAGTTCGCCGAACACTAAAAACTGTGCCAACGTGAAAGCATTACAGTCACATAAATTATCGAATTCATGAAATATATTTAATTAAAAAAAAAATTAAATTGGGATTTAAGTTTATAAAAAAATGTAAAAATATTCTTTAACAGGAGGGGGTTTAGCAGGTTGTATAATCGGTAGATGGAAATTTTGTTATTTATATGCACCAAGACATTCTAGTTAGTATGTTTTGAAAATGTAAACATTAACGTAGATTTCCTTATTCAGTATATATATATCTGTGTAAAAAATAATACCCCCCCCCAAAAAAAGATAATCTTTTTAATTTAAGGAAATTTCGTACAAGGATACTATATTCAAATACTACATGTACTTCAGACAAAATTGAAACACTGATTGCCATGGAAATTTTAGATTTTACAATTTAAGAACACTTCAGATTTTTTTTTTATAATTGAAGAATTAGAAATAGAATTGATATTCAAATTATAAACAAAACTTAAACAGAGGCTTGTAGATTTTATTTTACATAAAATATTAGTAATTTGGTAGTTAGTGTAATTTATATCGATCGGTAGCCATTCTCATGAGCAAAGTGCAATTTCAAAGAGTAACTAAATATTATACCTGTCATTCTTTTTTAGGCTTGCATAACTGAGGTTTACAACGGACATACGTCAAACATTGCATGAAGACCCCCGAAAGACTTTTTTTCTTCCATTTACATGTACATGTATATTCACTTTCCATTTTAAGAAATAAATAAATAAATAAAATAAATAAAAATGAACAAATGTTAAATAAAAAATAAATAAATAAAAGAGGAATAATATTTTTTGACACAGATAAAAATGCTTTAATTTTTCAAGGTAAAGAAATTAAATCAGTATTGCTCACAAAAGCCAAAATAAATAAATAAATAAATATATTTTCATAATTTTATCAATATGTTGTGTCTAGTTATTAAATGTTTTTAATCAGCCTTTATTAATAAGAACAGCAATTTTTTGCACGGAAGTTTCGCCAGTGGTGTGTATACACAGTTAAACACAGCCAACTGTCAAGCCTGAGCTGAAAAACCTCCCAAATCACATAGAATATACAAAAAATACACAAACACAGTAGCAGGTGTCTTCGCGGCACGTGTCTCTACTTGTGACACGTGCGGACAGGTGCCCGTGACTACGAGGCTCATCGTAATGATTGAGACCTACCTGAGTAATTTGCGATGATTTTAAATTTATAATTCTATAAAACAAACTACTCTCTATCAATTCCTATCTAATTTTCAGTTAATTTAATGTAACTTTACGTTCAGCAGAAAACAAAAGAATTACATTAGATCACAAATTAAAGTCCTTGGGGAATTTAAGTCAAATCTTTTGATACGTTTTTTTTCAATTTAAAATGTGCATTGTCAAGAAAATGCTTCTAAATCAATTATAACATAATACATGTTTCTGAAAATGGAAACTTGAAGGCATAACTGCATAGTTCTGATCATTTAAAAAAAAAAAGTACCACACATTGAGAATTAGTCATTTTAACAAATATTAAATAAATTTCTCGGACCAGCTTAGCTTAAAAAAAGGAACTAGAGAAACTCTATTTCTATTTTTTTTTCCAGAAAATAAATTACCAGCGAAATTGGGAGAAATGTTGATTATAATGTTGTTATTATAAATACACTCTCAATTGACTTCAAAATACATTTTTAACACTTAATAAAATGATATGAATTTAACTTTTGTTCTCAATTTCAGTCAAATAAGGACGACCCACATCATATCAAATAGATGAAAATATTAATTAGTTTTCAATTCACGCGTGAGTAATCCTTACATAGATATCATGTCTAGTATATATATATTTAAAATTCTGTTTTCGTTTAAGAAAGAATACCTAGATTAAAAATATTTATTGTTACTGACAATAATTACAAACACAGCAAATGCACGCAGAGGATTCTTGCGTGATTATTAAACTTGAATAAGAGAAAAAAAAAAGATATACACTATAATTATATACTTGGTCATTGAATATTAACTAGGGTCCTGGTTCCGTAAATCAAAGAAAAGAAATACTATAAGGAAGAGAAGGTTATGTACAAGAAGAATTATCTGTCTATTCACTTTCAATCTTATTTTATTCTCATATAATTGGATTTTGAACACCTCAGTGCCTCTCAGTATGTCCTCAGTAGCCTCAGAAAAAACCTCAGTATCACTCAGTATCAGCTCAGTTCCCTCAGAAGCACCTCAGTGCCCCTCAGTACTTCAACAGTATCAACAGTCCAAACCTCAGTGCTCCTCAGTAGCACAACAGAATGCACAGTCAAAACCTCAGTGCATCTCAGGACTACCACAGAATCTCAGTAGTAGCCTCAGTACCACTCAGGGTTTTCTCAGTACAACTCAGTACTTCCTCAGGGTTTTGTTGGATTCTCAGGGTCTTTTTAATACAGTAGTGTAAGTCGTCAACACTGGAATGGTTGATCTCCTGATTCAAAGGTCTCCTCGCGACAGCATGCTGCTCAACCATTATTCTCCTCAGGTAATCCATCACAACAAGAGGTAGGGCGAAGAATGGAAAGTTGTCAACAATCTAAAAAAAAATGTCTTTTACAAGATGTGCGCTGCCATGTGAATCCAGAATGTTGTTCTATAATGTGTCTGTTTATGGAGTATTTTAATTCTGACTGTAGATCACATATTTTGCAGTTATATGTGGTGATCTGTAAAATGAAAATTGTCATATATAATTATCCCTAACGCTTTAAATCATTTCATAATCTATAAAAATGTTTGGCAATTTTCTTGGTCTTTTACTGCCAATGAGTTAAATTAGTCATTTATATAATTATTGAAACATGCAATTTGTATATTCAGAACAACCCCTCCCCATAATCTTCAGTTTCACATTCTTGATAATTCACAACATCTGGATTTTCATATTGTCTTTCAAGCAAAGCAACACCATCTGTAATTTCGAAATTAATTTTTTATGTTTGTTTTTCTTTAACATTAAACTTTGGATGATTTTCTCCGAAATATGGGTTGACTCTGTTAGAATGAACAACTTTTCGCTTCGACTTTGGTGTTTCTTGAATTCTGTACAAAACATCCTTGTTATTTCTTGAAGTTTTTCAAATAGTCCATTGTCTCTATTCAAAGTTGTGTTAGCTGTTCTAGAAAAGATCAAAAGGAACAGTCCAAATACTAGTAATTTCATCTACAAAAGACAACAATGTTTCATTAACATTACATGTACTTATCCCTATATAAAATTAAGCGGTTCGTACGATTGCGTAGTCTCATCCTATACAACCAGTTCTAGTTCAAAATCGTATTACTCAGGACAACACTAACATTTGTACTGTGACATTAAGAGATAACTTGTCTAGATCTGTTTCAATTGTAAAAGTGCGACTGTAGATGATCATGGGCAGTGACCACGGGATTGAAAGGATGTTCTAAGTATACTTCCGATTTAAGCGGTCTTGATTTGTGAAATTCTATTTATTTATCACTAAAAGACACAGTTCACACTATTCCTTTAATTTGAAAGGAGTTTTGGTACATTTCCCTTCATTTCCATTGTTTCTGAAATAAAAGAAAGACGTGATTTTTTTATTAAGTTTTTATGAAGGAAAACAATTGAACAATTTATTTCAGCAAAAGAAAATAAAAAAGTTATGTTTTTAGACATTGTCCATAAACTTTTACCTATTGATGTCAATTTCGAAGTCTTCCTCTACATCCGTCTGTAAATCGGCAAACTCTCGAACGACTCGAAATCGCTGTCAGCCGAATCTGAACTGAAACCGGTATCAAGGGAGGCATGTCCATTGATAATTGACCTGTCTGATACACAAAAGGCTAGGCCAATGGCGTATTCCTCGAAGTTGTGTCCTTGTTGCTCTAAATGTCAAGACAGTCACCCGACTGCAACGTAGATCCTGCTTCTTTCTTTGACAAAGAAAGGAGTGGAACTTCTTTAAGGAATTTATGATAGTTTTTTTAAAATACTATATTAGGATAAGGTTTCAAATCTATTTTGTTGAATCTGTTTCATGAAAGGTAGGGAATCTGCTGGATATCTAATGAGGCTTCATCAGTGGTGATCTGGGTAATGTAAGTAGGCTCTGGGTCACTTTGGCACTCATGGCAGATTTCCTCTGTGGCCAAGTCCTCCCAACCAATGCAATGGGCTGGTCCATCATTAAGGTGGCAGTACACTTCCTGGGATGATCCGGACACTTGGTTCCTTGGCTTCGCTTATGACTGAGTTGTTTTTAGTGACCACTCCAATAATTTTTTTTTGCTTGGTGTAACATATTCTGAAATGGTATATGTACTTTGTGTTGCAGGTTGAAATGGGTTCCTGTCTCTGAACCAGTAGAGGGGATTGTTGTAGCGTCCGTCGCCTTCCACAGGAATAGGAGTTTGACGTGGAAATTCGCAGTTCTCCAGTACATCTTTAAAGTGATTCTTTTGCCTTTGTAGATCTTCTCTGACCATGTTTACAATCATTGGTCCTACCTTGTTAGCATTGTACTGCAAACCACTATAGGATGGTGCTGGGCAGTTGAGGGCCAGGAACACTTCCTGTAGTGTATTTCCCATAATAGGGTTGTCCATCAGGGCTGTCCATAGAGTAATGTTTGGTTTAGCTGCACTAGGTCCTCTCAGGCTAGTTTCTAACTCCTCGTACATTTTCGTGCTCTCGATGCGGAATTTACAGTACATGCACCTCAAGGTCTCCTCCCAGCATACCCCTTTCTGTTTTTCGGCCGGTAGTCAAACTGTAGGTAGGTAGGGCAGTTTGGGCTAACTTCATTATGAAGATGAAATGCTTTGTTAAACATGTCGCATGTCTTCCCTGCATTTAAAAGTCTATACGTGTTGTATTCTGGGCCAGGAGTAGAATTTACATGAAGCATGTTGCATGTGGCCTTCGGTCGGAGTTGCATGATAGGCTTTTCAGGGTTTAGTTGGTCAGGATTGTCTCTTAGAATGCACTCTCCAGTCTTGCTGATGTTAGCAGATACAAGCCTCCACATAAAGTTAGGCTTTGGGTTTCGTTTTTTCCATCCACTGAGGGGGGACCCCCTTTTACGGCCATCTTGGACTTTGAAAAGACCTCTTTTATTCTTAATTTTTCCTTTCGGTCTGACTGCTCTAATATTGTTTTGCTTGCACTCTGTCTTTACTCAATAAATTAACGATGATGTTTTAAGGCAAGTGAGTGCCAACTTCTTCGGAAGTAGACATGACTAATTCTTATTGCTTCAGCCACTAACGGCAGTCAGAGCTGGCAGCACCATAGCCAATTGGGCTGTCATAGCTGATAAATCTAGCAGATCCTTAAGTGCTTGAAGTGTAGTGACAGACCACAGGTACCTGTGGACAGGACACCCCCCCCCGATATTCAACCCCGGGGCTTACTGGACATTTTTTATACGCCCGTCTTAAGACGGGACGTATTATGTTATAGGCTTCGTGTCCGTCCGTCTGTCTGTTAGCTTTTTCGTTTCCGGCTCATAACTTAAGTACTACTAGGCCTAGGATTATCAAACTTTGTCATCTGATGCATCTTGGGTAGAAGGTGTGTCGCGCATAAAAAGTAGGTCGCTCTGACCTTTAATTAAGAAGTTATAGCCAAATATGGAAATATCCTTTCCGGCCCATAACTAGAAAACCATAAGACCTACAATCATCAAACTTGGCCAGTTTATGTATCTTAGGTAGAAGGTGTGTCGCGACCTATTTCAAGGTCACTGTGACCTTTAATTTAAGTGAATTTAAAAAAAAAATGTGTCTTTTTACTATTCAATTACACATCCCAAATAATGTAAGAGTATTGCACTGTTCTTATTAAAAAAGTGTTAAATCAAGAAAATACTTATTTTTTTAAGCATATACTTGACAGCAATCTAAAACAAATATAATGTATGTTAGAGAAATCCCATGTCTCCCATGAATGTAATTATCAAGCACTGGTCAAGAAGAATTTTGATAACAGAAAATTGCATGTCAAATTAGAGAGAAATTAATGGGTTTTGAGTGCAAGGAGCTAAATGTCAGAGCATTGGCATCATCTATATCCCTTGAGAATTGGGCAAATGGGTAAGCCTGTTTGATTAAAAATAGCTCTTGTTGACTAGCTTAAGTTTTGAAATGAATTTGATGAAAAGTAATTTAAACTAATTTGATATTGCAAAATAGACTAATCTGATATTATGTACGGTAATATTATTAATTTAAAAACTCATTTTATGGGGTGGGGTTGAATCAGCATGTCCATATGAATAACATACTAGAACCTGTCGGACATTAAATCTCAACCAAAAAAAAAAAATCAAAAATCTGAGAGTATTTTAAATGTTTTTAAAAAAAAATTATAGTAGATAGTGCAGACCCATTCATCTCTTGGTAGTAATGAGTAGACAAGCATCCAGTTAAAGATTAATTAATGAGTTCAATGTAGGAAGGCTAGCTGTCTCAGTCGCTCTGATTAAGCAGCCCTTTGGGGATTAGACAGAAGAACTGCTGGTCAGTTTATAACATATGTCATTTGATGGCCAGCCTTTTTTTTCAAAATTAATTTGGTATAGATTAAGTTGTTAAGACTAATTTGATGATGGGCATTTGACAACGTCTAACACAACCAGCACAGAAATCTATCAGTGATGTAATATTTATTATAATTGATGCCTACATCACAGGGGATGGATAAATATTTTAGGGAATGGAAAAATCATTGAAATCTTAAAATCAAGGTTGATGTGATTTTTTGGCACCTAAACTGTTCAAGAAAATTGCTAATTTTTTGACGGGCGTATCATGTCGTGGCGCGGCACTTTATTTCAGAAATTACATTTATTATACTTATTCATCATGTGTACAATATGAAAAAATTGTCAAAACCCATAATCAATCGCTCTACAAAAAAAAAAATACCCCACTATACATTATAAGGGAGAAAGGTATGCCACTTCGGTTTGTTTACGTTGTACCCCCACTGGTCTCTCTGAGTTTATTTATTTCAACCTAAATGTCGATTCACATCATCTGTACATATATTTCTGTCTTGGTGCATTCTATCGGATTAACTCTACATCTCGTAAGAATCCCACAATATCTGATTATCTCCTTAAACAGTTTTCCAGTCACAACGTTGAAATTTCCCTAGGTAATCGCAACGGAAGAGTTTTGTTCTTTTTCTTCATTAGAAAGGTCTCTATTTTCTGGAAATGGGATTCTTGACTTAGTGATCAGTCGCCAACGCTGGAATTGGTTGATCTCCGGATTTAGGGGCCTTCTCTCGGCAGCATGCTGCTCGATCACCATTTTCCTCAGGTAATCCATCACCACAAGAAGTAAGGCGAAGAACGAAAAGTTGTCAGCCATTTTAAAACAAAGCTAAAGCATACAGTTATCGTCAATATATATTTTCATTTTTTTCGTGTTTTTCTTTTTGTTTTTACAACTTTGATCGTTTAAGGTTCTCCAAGAATGGAATTGTTCATCGTAGTAAAAGGCATCTTTGTCACCGACAGCATTGCTTCGTTTTCGAATTGTTGCCATATACTTCAGTAGGCATGGGGATTGTGATGGGAATTTAACACAATACGCTACAAAAACATGAAAGCCATTCATCCACTGTTAGAGGGATTTGAAAAAAATACTTATGCTCCTTTTGAAGAATGATTAATGAATTATCCTTCCCTTGGACAGCCTCAAGCTTGGCAGTTGTTTGCTTGAAAATCTGTGAACCTAGTTAAATATCGATTACCTTTTGTGTCAGCTCTCAACTGTGCCTCTGACATCTTTGAGATCTTCGAAGAAATTCAAAGTTTATTTGTCTCTGTATCACTATTTAAATGCGAAATGACGTTACCAACCAGCTTGAGATCTCATCTTTCCATTTAGCCTGCTTAGGAAGATTCCGACTGACCAATACACAGATCTTTACCATTGCAACCTTTGTCATGAATCTGGAAGGTATAAAACATAAAAAAGGATTGATGTCATAAATATTTTAGTTGGTTTAGATGCAATTTCATATATTTTTTTCCAAAAACTTTTGGGTACAATTCTACAGATATTTGCAATGAACTGTATGTAAAGGAGGAACGCATTCCAAAATCAAAACAGAAAGGAATCTTTTAAAAATATATATCTTTTTTACAGAGTAAAGTAAATTGTAGGATATTAACTATTTTCTTCAGTTACAACTTGCACAACTTCAAAGCTTGAAATATCCTTATTTAAATAATTATTTATTATATCCTTATTTTAAACATATTTAGTTTTTAATCACTGAAAAGAGCTAACATATCTGCTAAGTAACCACAATAAGAATGCAATTATAAGAAATAATATAATTTTGACAGAAGGGAGATCCAATGTTTTACAATCATATTCTGATATTTTTTTTCACGGCCTCCTTCACTACAGTCACGGTTACATCGTTCATACCATTTCCTTTGGTATCGATTCATCCTTCTTGATGCAGAACAATATTCTCTTCGTTAACTGTCTGACAGTCCCTCATGTTTATTTCACGGGTCTTTGCTCTATCATAATTTACAGTAAAACAATAATTTTTCTGACGTTCGAAAGTTTCAAAGTAGAACTTTCCATCATACTGTACCAATCCACAATCCACCTGTGGACAAAATTTAAAATACTTCATCAGCAAATCGGGTTTAAATTATCATTTGATGTTTTTCCTCGGAATATTTTGCGATTAAATACTTTCCCCTCCTTAAAGCCCTTTGATCGAACGAAACAACATAACGAGCTTCATTTAGAAATATAAACAAGAAACCCATGGGCCACAGTGTTCTTGATTTGTATATTTGCAGCATAATCTTTTAAAACTCTCATTTTATGAAATTGTTAACGTCTGTTAATTTACTTTTTTACATTTATAAATATGATTAATAATATAAATAAAATTTTAAAATAAAATTTTGAGGGGATAAAACGAGTATTTTGTTAGAATCTATAAATAAATACATAGATAAAACAAGTTTGGCTTTCCAGAAAGCCTGAAATGTCATCTCTTTGGTATCAATAATGTCAAAGAAATAAAACAGAAAGGAAAATATTTTAATGCAATGAATATATGGATCATTACACCTGAAGTTCCCAAATGACTAAATTATTCAGCAAACTCCACAGTAAAGTAGCCACTTTCTTTTGGCCGCAGTATATATATATGAAAAGCATAAACGTCTGCGAGAGAACCCAAGGCGATTTTTGAGTTCAATTTCCATTCTAGCGGTCTGATTGTGCCCTTTGGGTGTTTACAATTTACTGCTAAATTCAAATACTTTCCTTTGAACCTTTTTTCTTAACACAATTTGGAATTATCATCAATAATAATTATTCATTTAAAAGCAACTAATCATTAAAGTTTGACAGGAATTAATTTTATAAATCCAATTACAGACTAAAAATTTACATAAAATTAAATCTTAAAATCAAGCGATGTGATTTTTTTGACTAATTTGAAAGCTTGTAATTTTTTTACGAGAACCAGTTTTCCCTTTATTTCGCGTCAACAAATCTATATATAGTGTAAATCACGTCAAAAAATTGTCAATTCTCCTTGTGTGGCTTACCAAAAAAATAAGGCATAGATTATAAGGGAGAAAGGTATGTATATACGACACACCGAAACTATCTCTCTGAGATTAATTTATAAGCATCGTATTCTAATCTTTTCTAATATTTTCCTTGGCTTTCAAATAGGCCTAAACCGACAAGTATCACACACTCCTAAGCTAGTTCTTCTAAAAGAAAACCAGTTTACAGGCTACTTGGAACTCTGTAAAACATCGAGGACTCCCGAATGATTAATGGAAGCTTACACTAGGACTTCACTTCCGGCATACAATCTTAATGTGTCATCTCCTGTTTTCTCCCGAGGGAGATGACAATAATCTTACAGATTAAAATTGAATACAATCGTATTCATCCATTTTCCTTGTTTCTTTGACAGTTGTCAAGGAGATTGATTTGGCCTCCAGGAATTCTGTTGCCTGTCTAATTATGATCAGCAGCTCACAGTTGTTTTTGAGTTGAGATGTTATCCAACCTGTACAAAATGCAACCAAGACATTCACGATTCAGCTTTCCAGTGAAATTGTGTCTGTCGGCCGCCCGATTTAGGACTGAAGTGGTTCATGTCCATATTTGTTAGCCCTTAATAATTTGCAAAAAAATATTGCATGGTCGTCCAAATGAAAGGGGAAAGCATCAAGTATTTTTTGCCAGATAAATCATGAATATTTGACCATTTATAAGTCATTTGTATAAAACACAACACAACATTATTTTATTGGTTTAATAAATTTATAATTTTTTTCCAAAAACTTTAATGGGATTGGACATATTAAAACAAAATGTCCTACCTGTCCTATTTTCAAAGTCTTTAAAACAAAAATATCTTTTGAAAAAATATATCTTTTTTAGCGTATAAAGTAAGGTAGGATATTAACTATTTTCTTCAGCATCCCGCACAGTTCCAAATGGTTACATTATTTAAATAAATTTATTATATCCTTATTTTAAAATATCTTATTTTGTTACTGAAAAGAGCTGATTTTTTTCACAAAATTTTTAAGAAATAATATAATTTTGACCTTGCTGTCGTTTGTATACAATTATTTGAATAAATGCTATTGAAAGAACATCTGAGTTTAGGATCAGTAAATTTAACAGTTAATGTTGTGTAATACACTGCAAGTCGTCCATATTTACCACTGTGTAATATCAATGTTCACAGCGCATGTATTCCTCTGCAGAGGGCATGACAGAAACACCATTAAGTTCTTCTGTATACTCAGGCTCATATGCACATGGTATCATTTCAAATGGACAGTATGGAGCGAATTTTGTCGAAGTGGTTTGCTGACGTCACCGAGATGCTATCATGGCGGCCTCCATGCATATCCAGGAGTAAAAACACTGGCCGGATAAATGATCTTGATTTATGGCTTTTGATAACAGTATTAGATAAGATTTTTGGTAGGTGTTTTAAGCATGCTATAATCTATTAAATCTATAAAGTATGAATATAACAAGTCAAAAAAACTATTTTTATCATTGGTTTGAGTTTACTATCACTCCCACATATGCCCCATGTATGACTGATCATTGAAACAAGGTAGCCAATGTCTCATTATGCTCAAAACTCATTTTGGCATGAGATCTTTCTTGTGGTTAATGTGATTTTTTTTTCTGCGTGAATCCTGTCGTAGGGTATTTTATTTTCGCTGGTTATATTTCACTTCTTCGTAAAGCTTTTCTCGCTGACTGGTATAGTGGCGTTTCTTACATCGGATGGAAAGGATCTATGCCAGGCTTCGTCTTTCTTCCCACTCCGAATTCAGTCCAGTGGACCATCACAGTCTGGAAACTTATGTTAGTGTTCTTTAAATACAGTGTTCTCTAATTAAGCAGTCTTTTCTTGGTGAAGTACTTTGTATCACTTTGAATTTGGGTCATCTGACACACAATTCCATGTAGGTCTCTACTGGCTGAAAGTAAAAACTTCACCTCACTGCTTTGGCTCTTGGTACTTGAGAAATACAACAGTTCATTTCCAAAATATATTGAACAAGTTATTCTTAAATGTAAAACAACATTTATATAATATATTTAACCTCCAAGGATTTATATCTAGTTCTAATTACTGTAAACGAACTATATTTGGCTGTGTTAGGGAGCCCCTATTTCCCGACAATTGAAAAAGACCAAGAATGTGCTTATAGGGGGAGGGGCGGTATTAAAATATTTGATCCCATATCATGCGCCTGTCTGTTTACCCCCCTACATGTTGATACACTACTTGTCACAGTGTTTTGATAAAAAAAGAATGCAAACCTTCATAAGAATCCAATGTTAACAAGCTTTTCCCTGCAGTTTCCATGAACATTACAGCTGGTGGGCACTGGTTAATATTTTCATTGAAAAATTTTGAATGGCCGAAGTGTTTCTTTATAAAAAAAAATCCCGTTCTTCAGGAGATACATCCAGGGATTCATAATATGTTGCCACGTAATGCCTCATATCAGTTTCAGTAATATTTTTTTATTTCAGCATTTTTACAAACTTTAAAAACACTCTGCCATCCATTGACATAACCCAACGAGTTTTCAGAATTTGCAAAAACAAATTTGTTTTTGGGATGGACACCTGCCAGCTTTCTGTTTTCAACATCCTTAAGCATTACCAGTCCTTTCTAACAGTCATCTGGTATTATTACCAATACAAGTTCCAATTTTTTGGATGAATGAAGATAAGCACATACTATTTTGCACATTAGTTTTTCTATGTATCTATCAATTTTCTGGAAAATGTTTTGTCTGCCCATTTATGACTAAAAGCATCTTCTAAATCTGATATTGTTAACCTCGTTGCCTCTCCTCCTCTCCTTGCATTAAATAATGTAAGTCTACAGGATATCAAATTCCTTAGTTTATATATAATCCCCGGATTTACTGGTGTATAAATGTCCTCTACCATTTTTGTGATTTCTTACTTTGTAAAGTCTAGCTATTGTTGGTATTTTTCAAAAGTAGGAAGGCCAGTAGGAGCCCTGGAGTTGATCACTCAGCCCGCTCAAACACTCGTAACCCCATTCAAGGCAAATATGACACCATTTCATAGTGCAGGTTCTAGCGTAATGCCCTTGTCTTCTACATCGAAAACAAACAAATGTAGGACACTCTCTACATAGATGATGGCTTGAATAGCACAAACTACACACAATAATACCAACAGTTTGACTGCTTGATGTCCAGGAATAAAGAAGAGTTTTCAAAGATTGCACTAGTTTTATTGGTTTTTGCCCAAACCCCCAGGCCCCAGGAAATTCATAATTTTTGTTCCAAGTTTTGAAATTGGTTCAGTGGTTTCAGAGAAGAAGCTGAAAATGCTCAAATGTTAACCCACGACGACGGTCAAAAACGGATAGCAATTTACTCAGGTGACCTAAAAAAATACTTACCGGTAACAACGAATTTTTCAATCAGTAAGAGAAATTCATAATAAATAGAAATTAATTGGAACGACTCAGAACATTACAATTTATGTATAACTTCTATATTTTTTTTCTCAAGAAGGAACTTAAGGACAGATGATACAAACAAATTTTTTCCTTGGAATAGATTGAAGCGTTGTTAATTTCCGAGCATGTAAATACCATAAATAATTAATATTCCATCCGCAAACACTTATATATTCCTTTCCTCTTAAATGAAAACGCAGCGTAAAGTTCACAATAATTATTATTATTGTACTTTCATGTTAAATACTAAAATCTGATTGGTTTAGACGCAGTTAACAATCCGTTCGATTACCCTCAGCCTTAGCAACACACGTGACAACGGGTAACACAACGGTAATGCCACATGTGTGGAAATTATGCCACATGTGTGGAAATTATGCTCGTACGGTTCACCGTAGAATTCTCAAAATGTCAGTTGCGCGTTTGAAAGAACTGGAATAAACTTGACATCAATAAAAGCTTGCGTCCTACGTAGCTTACTTAAAAACTTAAAAACAACAAACGACAGACAAAACATGCTTGCGAGTGCCGAAATAAAGAAAATTTAGGATTTTTCGAGAATCAAACAAACAAATAATAGGTCGGTAATCTTTTACGAAGCTTTCTTATGAATAAAATAGAAGAGGGAAGTTTGAAGCCTTCTGTGACACCCCTCGGAAAACCATTGTCAACCTCCGCTGACGCGTCGATTGACAATGGTTTTCCTTGGAGTGTCAATTTCAACTGTTACCCTCCAAAACAGGCATCATTTATATAATGGCGATAAATCCAAACCATAGCATATAAAAAAAACGAACGAGTCACATGGTCAAAACTTTCCTAACTACTCCTGTGTTTCTACATTTTTTCCCCTTTTATACCGAAAAACTTGCTCTTCCCATGACGCAATAATCCTCTTTCCAAAATAAATCTTTTCCGGGAATACAAATACAAAATCTAGGTCAGTGCAGAGGACAAAATGAAAGTAAAGAGGTTACTGAATTATTTGTTAGCCCAAATAATAAAATACTTTAGTTAACTTTATATTATTATACAGCTTACACAAAATAAATAGACACAGGTGTGATTGACTGTAAATCTGCTACTACTGTAAGTTAATAATGCGAAATCAGTTTAATGTACATTCTTTTTATATGACTTCAGTTAGGAAATATTTCTTTGTGTAAATTTAACTTTAAACTTGCAAAATACAGTGTCAATGTCTGTGATGTGTATTTAGTCTTGTTTTGTTCTTTTTATGTGTAGCCTTTATCGTAAGATCATCTATATGTCAACTGAATAAAATCTGAAACGATGATTGACGCTACACTTCCCCCATGCAAGTTTTGACCCCGTCAAAATAATATATTCAAAATTAAGTCAATGATAACAAAAGGTTTAAAAATGTCAATTATGCACAATATTTACAGACAATATTTCGCAAATTTAAACTTCTGTCCGTATTCAGTCTTTTTAGGCACCCAGGAATACATGAATCTGCTGTAGGGCTTCCTCGGTCACTTTAGATATATAGACTCCTTTCGGATCAAGTCCCTCTGAGAAATAAATGTCCAGAGATCGGTTTTCAGTTGACACTTTTCGTCATTATGTCGTCCCGAACTGTCGGGACGACGTATTGCGATTGTACGCATGTTTTTTTTTTTGTCCAGGCGTTTTCTCGGAGATGGCTGGGACAATCTTCCTGAAACTTTCCTTAAAGGAGTATAACTGGTTGTTGTTGTGCCATGTGGTTATTCAGATTAAAAATGGCTAAGGTTACCATGGAAACCTGCAAAAAGCGACGAATTTTGTCCGCGAGTGTTCTCTCTGGTCCCTTGAACATTCTTCATAAAACTTTTTTTATTTTATTGACGGTTACTACATGGTCATCCTCACGCTGTTCGTTTGCGATTCTAATTTTCGAATTCGTCACTTGATATTACGAACAGATCGCTTTCACAGTATTCCAAAGTGTCACTGTCACTCACTGTGTCCTGTCGCACTTTCACATTAATACTGTCCTCAAAACCTTTAGGTTTTCGAATGGCCCTTCCCCGTCTTGTTTTTAGCTCTACTGGTCAGAGACCAGAAGAGCTTATGCGATAGTAATGCGTCCGTCGTCCGTCCAGCTGTCTGTCTGTCCGTCTGTAAACAATTTTTTCAAAATGCTACTCCTCCTACAGTTTTGGTCCGATTTCAATATAACTTGGCACACAAGTAGACTACACTAAGATACATAATTCTGTGCATCGGTTTTTGATTTCGATAAACGGTGTTGCCGTGGTTACTTAAAATAGAAATTTCTGTGAAATTCTTTCGAAATGCTACTCCTCCTACAGTTTTGGTCAGATTTCAATATAACTTGGCACACAAGTAGACTACACTAAGATACATAATTCTGTGCATCGGTTTTTGATTTCAATGAACGGTGTGCCGTGGTTACTAAAAATAGAAATTTCTGTGAAATTCCTTTCGAAATGCTACTCCTCCTACAGTTTTAGTCAGATTTCAATATAATTTGGCACACAAGTTGACTACACTAAGATACATAATTCTGTGCATCGGTTTTTGATTTCGATGAACGGTGTTGCCGTGGTTACTAAAAATAGAAATTTCTGTGAAATTCTTTCAAAATGCTACTCCTCCTACAGTTTTGGTCCGATTTCAATATAACTTGGCACACAAGTAGACTACACTAAGATACATAATTCTGTGCTTCGGTTTTTGATTTCGATGAACGGTGTTGCCGTGGTTACTAAAAATAGAAATTTCTGTGAAATTCTTTCGAAATGCTACTCCTCCTATAGCTTTGGTCCTATTTCAATATAATTTGCAAACAAGCTGACTACACTAAGATACATAATTCTGTGCATCGGTTTTTGATTTCAATGAACGGTATTGCCGTGGTTATTAAAAATAGAAATTTCTGTGAAATTCTTTCAAAATGCTACTCCTCCTACAGTTTTGGTCCGATTTCAATATAACTTGGCACACAAGTAGACTACACTAAGATACATAATTCTGTGCATCGGTTTTTGATTTCAATGAACGGTGTTGCCTTGATTACTAAAAATAGAAATTTCTGTGAAATTCTTTCGAAATGCTACTCCTCCTATAGTTTTGGTCCTATTTCAATATAACTTGGCACACAAGTTGACTACACTAAGATACATAATTCTGTGCATCGGTTTTTGATTTCAATGAACGGTATTGCCGTGGTTACTAAAAATAGAAATTTCTGTGAAATTCTTTCAAAATGCTACTCCTCCTACAGTTTTGGTCCGATTTCAATATAACTTGGCACACAAGTCGACTACACTAAGATACATAATGCTGCTTCGGTTTTTGATTTCGATGAATGGTGTTGCCATGGTAACTAAAAATAGAAGTTTCTGAGAAATTCTTTTAAAATGCTACTCCTACAGTTTTGGTCCGATTTCAATATAACTTGGCACACAAGTAGACTATACTAAGACACATAATTCTGTGCATCGGTTTTTATTTTGATAAGTGGCAAGGATCATTTTTCTATTTATTGTTGCTGTTTTAAAGTCTCAAGTCCCAACTGCTACTTTTCTCTTCCTTTGTTTTAAGTATAAACCAGTAGAGCTACAGTCTCGACAGAGACTTCTGGTTTGTAGATGTAACCAGTTTTCGTATATCACGTGACTGGTCGGTGGGAGGAGGCTCTACAACTGGAACACACAGAATGAAATGCATATGGACATCCATATATTTTAATCTATCCCCTGAAAAAGACAGTTGCTATTGTTTTTGCTTCCATGTTCGGTATAGGAAAAATCTCCGCAAATTTTGTAAAGTAGTCCGATATAACCAAAGTATATATATTGTCATTTGCAGTTTTAGGAAATGGTCCGGCTATATCTGCTGCGACTCTTTCAAATCTTCCACCAGCAATATACGTTTCCATATAATTTCTCCATCTTCCTGGATTTTTCCTTTCTTCACATACATCACGAGCACAGGACAAAATTTGTAGCCCTCCACCGGCAAGTGGTGTCGTCTCCATATGAGTGAAAAATTCTCGAGAGGGACGTTAAACATCATACAATCAATCAATCTTCTAAGAAGGTAATGCAAGTGTTTCACAAAGAAAACGACTGCTAACATTTCTTTTCTAGTAACACAGTAATTTTTCTCATTAGATGTTAAAGTTCGGCTAGCATACTGCATCACTTTTTAGGCGGAAGCCGCCTATTACATTTGCTTTGTTGACCTTTCGACCTCTCAAGATGTTTGCCCCGTTTCATGGTACTCCAAATGGATGTATCCTAAATTAAGGGCAGACAACCCGCTAAATCATATTCGATCCCTTCCCAATCTTTATTGTTATTATCATATCAAAAAGTGTGCATTATGGCGAATTTATTTTAACAATTTATTTTGATTAATGTAAAAAAAGTCCAATAAAAAGTAATAGCCTAATAATAGAACGAATAGTTATTTTAGTACTCCCGATACGTTTCACGCTTGAGAGAAGAACGAACGACAACACATAAATAAATCGGGTTCAACATTTGATTAGCAAGGGGTCCTGACGCAATCTGTAGAAATACTACGAGGGACAAATAGTCCAAGTAGTAATTATGTTTAAGAATTAATTACAGGTACAGAGCTATTGAGGAACTAATCTTCAATTGCCATGGCTTCATCTGCATTCTCTAGGATATGCTCATGTCATTCGTGGTCTCCTTGGTCCTGATCAGGCCTCTCCATGCTTATTCAGGTAAATTCTCACGAGGATATAACATTTGGTTTGTATGAGTCCAATGAAACATAAAAATCCTACTTTTGATAATAGAAAACCTCTGCAGAAAATCTGGAGTTAGATTATCCAACCACTACCAATATTTTTATAAGTATTTCAGACTCTGGCTTGTATCATCTAATCTTGATTCTGAACAGTCTATCTTGTTCGTCACACAATTTATTTTCTTCACCTCTTTTCATAAAAAATATTGAAATGGTTCGCTTTTTGCTTGTTAAAAGTTTTCAAGACACCTGGGAAACATTCTCTGGTCTTGACCAGAAAAGGTTAATGTTTTTGTATTCCTCAAAATTGCAATCCAGTTGTTGCTCTTCCTTGGATTAAGTTACTCCCTTACTGTCCAAAGTATATCATACAAGTTTAGAGGGTGATGCTATATGTACCAAACATGTATAAATGCAACCAGAAGGAGACTAAATCCAGCTTACCACTCTTTATTTGAATTAAACAATCCATTTGGAATGTGTAAAATAACAATAACTGAATGATTTTCTTTTAACAAGATTTGAACTCTTTATGAAAAGAATGGTTGCTTAATTATCAGCATTTTCATCGCATTCTAGATAAAAGAAGACCACGCAAACTCATATCGAGATTGATTTTATCCAGATTAAACAGGTACGCCGTCTGGAAGAATTTTATGGCTATTCGCCTTGTAATTCGGCGATGAGAACATTTTGCTTCCAGAAAGAAGGGAATTTGAAGTCTCGAAAAGAGGACTTAATCAGCACATTTACTTCATCTACAATACCGTTGTAATTAAACCTTTGCTTAAAACGTGGCCATAATTTGCACACATAAATTTGGGAAACTCCAAATCTCCATGGAGTACCGAGACAATGGATTCTAAATTCCCAGCTGTTTCTTTGGGTTAACTGATGCCTCGGATGTCATTTCCTCCAACCAGAAGAATTATTTTGTCAGGTTTCACCCGTTCAATGAAATGCGCATTCTCGAGGAGAATGCCTGATACTGTGCAGCCTCCAATGCCTCTAAAATATTTCGTGTGTTTAAGGAATTGATGTAAGGAACGGACACTATAATAACCGAAAATGAGTATTTTGTTAGAATCCATAAATAAATACAAAGATAAAATAACATTAACGTTTGAAATCGAATAAAATCGTATTCATACATCCTCTTTGATTCTCTTACAGATGTCAAGGAGAGTAATTTGGCCTCCAAGAATTCTGTCGTCTGTCTGATTATGATCAGCAGCAACACTTTTCTTACTTTTGAAACGCTAGCGAAAAATTGTGTTGCGTAAGCGATTCCAGTTGCCTTTTGATCCGCTTCCTTCTCGTCGTGCCCACGCTGGATCAGGAGCTTCGTACATGTAGGCGTCGGAAGGTTGGCTGAGGGCTCCTCATCTTTCCAACCATTAATTTATCATGACTGACTCAGGTGACGTAATTAAAAAAAAAGAAAAACTACTTCGCTTCGGTTTTGCGGTTGGTCATTTTCGTCCACAACAGGATGCAGTGAACACCACATGTTGCACGGAAGTATTTTAATTCTGTGCAATGCCTACAGCGTATATGGAAAAGAAAAGCTTTCTATAAGGTATTTATTAGTTATTACAGTTGCAAGGAATGAAAGCACAACTAAGGCACAATAAAACATTTAGACATTTTACATATGAAAACAACTAGTAAACAATGCAACTATAGCATATGAAAAATATTTTTCTTTAAAGGGAAACGTTATAATAATTAAAAAATATAAATACCAGTGCTCCTCTCTCTTCGGATTCCCTTGTGTAGCAGTGCCTGCAGTATGTATCTAGATCATCTGTAATATGTAGAGTACATAATAAGTATAGTGGCACTTCTTACATCGGATGGAAAGGATCCATGCCAGACCTTGTTTTTCCTCCCAAGCTGATTCCAGTCCAGTGGACCATCACAGTCTGGAAACTTATGTGAGTGTTCTTTAAATGCATTGTTCTACAATTTCGCAGTCTTTTCTTGGTGAAGTACCTTGTATAATTTTGAATTCGGGTCATCTGACACAGATTCCATGTAGGTGTCTACTGGCTGGACCTCACTTGGCTGGGTCGTAAAAACTTCATCTCACTGCTTTGGCTCTTGGTATTTGGGAAATACAACAGTATGACAATATAATATATATATCCTCCAAAGATTATATCTAGTTACGATTAGTAGTACAGTATCTGTAATACCTACCCTCATCGGAATCAAATGTGAATAAAACTTTCACCGCAGTTTCCAGTAATTTAGGAGCTGTTGGACACTGGTATATATTTTCAATAATATACTTGGAATGTCCTAAATATTTTCGAAGAATCCAATGTTAAAAAGCTTTTTACTGCAGTTTCCATTAACCTTACAGCTGGTGGGCACTGGTAAATATTTTCATTGATATATTTTGAATGGCCCGAGTGTTTCCGTATAAAAAAGTCCAGATCTTCAGGAGATACATCCAGGGGTTCATAATATGTAGCCACGTAATGCCTTATATCAGTTACAGTAAAAAAAAATTCATTTCAGCATTTTTACAAACTTGGTGAACACTCTGCCATCCATTGACATAATCCAATGAGTTTGCAAAAACAAATTTGTTTTTGAAATGAATACCTGCCAACTTTCTGTTTTCAACACCCTTAAGCATTTCCAGCAGTCATCTGGTGTAATTATTACCGATACAAGTTCAATGAGATAAGCACATACTATTTTGCATATTAGTTTTTCTGTGTATTCATCAATTGTTTGGAAAAATGTTTTGTCTGTCCATTTATTTTGCAAAATTTTGCAAAAGTTTGGTTTTTTCTGCCTTTGTTCATTTTGGCATGACCTCTAAGAGTTTTTAATCTTTTTTTGATTGACTTCCTAATATTCTCAGACAAATGACGGGTGTCAATATAATGTACTGGTTTATTTTGTAGCAGACCGTCCTTGTAGAGGGAATCTGCAGCTCGACCAGCGGAGCTGTCCGGGTCAGTGGTTACCTCCCTTGCCTCGAGGCCATCTTTGCAGAGGAGTTCCGCCATCCCTTCCCGAGCCCATGTGAACTCACCCCCTATTGTATGCTGCATGGGTAGGTTTGCCCCTCAAACCCCAGGACTACATTGGTGGTTAGCAGTGCCCTACTCCAGTTAGTGACCATGTTTGGAACAGATTTTATTTTTTGAAACCATTTTAACAATTTGCTGTTTTGATGTGACATTTTCAGCAAATGAGTACACTGTCTGTGGGTGTCTCACCCACCCCCGAGTACATGGGGGTTATTGTACAAGCCATCACACTGTACGGGGATGGCATGTGGGGAGACAATTCCCCTTAGAGTGTTGACATCCACCAACTGGCAACACCGGTTACTCATGTCAGCCTCATTAATGGTTATCTATTATGGGCATAATTTTAATTGATGTTTTTTTGTAAGGACCTACGAGAAGGAGGGGGAGTGTTAGTAGAAAGAAGAATTTTCCTCATCCCATCATTGCCTATGGGGGTGTGACTTATGCCCACCTGAAGCCCATAATTAACAGTGGTAGCATTTCTATCCCGGGGTTTGGACTCTACCTCCTCATACAGATTTTACCGCCCCGATACGTATCCGCACTTGGTACAGCAGAGGCCCATTCTGCTTCCCAGGCCTCGCCTTTCTTCGGTAGCCAAGTCCCATGTTAGTGGTCCATCACAGCCTGGTTTCTCATGCCAGTGGACTCGCATGACCTCATTCCACATCTCGGCTGTTTTTCTTGGATGTAGAAGTCTGTGGGAATTCTGTTAAGCCAGCCTAGGTAAATGTTCAATGTTGCTTTAAACAGTTGGCAGTGTTCAGAGCATGTGAATAGAATTTACAGTTACTTCCATCTAACAAGACATAGAGAAATTTAACATTGTGTATTTTTTTCCCCTGGGAGTATTACTTATAAATTTTTGTGAAGTACTGTTAAGAGTTTTAACGGCATGTATAAATTTGATCCTGCATATATTTACATGTAATTGTGTGTAATATGTATCCCACCCTTATTTAGACTCTTTTTTTCAGTATGTAGATAATATTCAGATTTATTATACTTAATTTCCTGACTTTCGGCAGCTGAGGGAGTCACCGTCACCATCTGATGCATGTCCTCTGACAGTCTCCTGTACGGTGCAGGTAAACTTTCCTTCCGCTTACTTTCCGTCCCCTTATTGTGAGGCACATTTTGGGGTTTGAAACCGCACTTGTTATCTTTTTGGAATTTTGGCATATCTTCAAGTTCTCCTTTTCCAGTTTAAATTTGAGAATTTTGGCAAATATACAGGGCTGTTTAAGGCTACACAGAGGATTTTCTCTTGTCTCATTGACAGATTAATACTGTGCATAATAAGACGATTATTTTGATATCCATCATGAACTTAAAGTAATAAAAAGTCGTTTTAATATGCTAATAAAATACTTTATAGCATATTTCAGCAAATAAACAAAATAAAACTAATAAATCAAATTTTGGGGATATAAATGGATGATATATTAAAAAATAAATGAATAAATTTATTTGTGTCATTATTTCAAATAATGAAAAGTCGTTTTAATACGCTATTAAAATACTTTGTAGCATATTACAGCAAATAAATAAAATAAAACTAATAAATCAAATTTTGGGGAGATAAATGAGTGATAAATTAAACAAGAGGCCCATGGGCCACAGCGCTCACCTGAGCACATCGGGCTTGAATTTACTCCCCCCCCCCCACTCCAGGCATTCATCATTTGAACAAACTAGAATCTACACTACCTGAGGATGATTCCATATAAATATCACTAATCATAGCTTTGAAGTACTTGAAAAGAAGATTTTAAAAGGTTTCCCTATATATCCCTATGTAAAACTTGGGTCGGCCATTTTGGCCCCACCCTAACCCCGGGGGTCATGATTGGAACAAACTTGAATCTACACTACCTGAGGATGATTCCACATGAGTTTCATCTTTCCTGGCCCAGTGGTTCTTGAGAAGGATTTTTAAAGACATTTCTGATATATTCCTATGTAAAACTTGGGTCGGCCATTTTTGGCCCTTCCCTTCCCCGGGGGGTCATGATTTGAACAAACCTAAATCTACACTACCTGAGGATGATTCCACATGAGTTTCCTCTTTCCTGGCCCAGTGGTTCTGTGAAGAAGATTTTTAAAGATTTTTAGCTCTACTGGTCAGAGACCAGAAGAGCTTATGCGATAGTAATGCGTCCGTCCGTCTGTCTGTCTGTCTGTAAACAATTTTTCGAAATGCTACTCCTCCTACAATTTTAGTATGATTTCAATATAACTTGGCACACAAGTAGACTACACTAAGATACATAAAGTAGTGCATCGGTTTTTTATTTCGATGAACTGTGTTGCCATGGTTACTAAAAATAGAATTTTCTGAGAAATTCCTTTAAAATGCTACTCCTTCTACAGTTTTGGTCTGATTTCAATATAACTTGGCACACAAGTAGACTACACTAAGATACATAAAATAGGTCATCGGTTTTTCGATGAGCTGTGTTGCCGTGGTTACTAAAAATAGAATTTTCTGAGAAATTCCTTTAAAATGCTACTCCTTCTACAGTTTTGGTCTGATTTCAATATAACTTGGCACACAAGTAGACTACACTAAGATACATAAAATAGTGCATCGGTTTTTGATTTCGATGAGCATTGTTGCCATGGTTACTAAAAATAGAATTTTCTGAGAAATTCCTTTAAAACGCTACTCCTTCTACAGTTTTAGTCTCATTTCAATATCACATGGCACACAAGTAGACTACACTAAGATACATAAAATAGTGCATCGGTTTTTGATTTCGATGAACAATGTTGCCATGGTTACTAAAAATAGAATTTTCTGTGAAATTCCTTTAAAACGCTACTCCTTCTACAGTTTTAGTCTCATTTCAATATCACTTGGCACACAAGTAGACTACACTAAGATACATATAATAGTGCATCTGTTTTTGATTTCGATGAACTGTGTTGCAATGGTTACTAAAAATAGAATTTTCTGAGAAATTCCTTTAAAACGCTACTCCTTCTAAAGTTTTGGTCTGATTTCAATATTTTTTGGTACACAAGTAGACTACGCTAAGATACATAAAACAGTGCATCGGTTTTTGATTTCGATGAACGATGTTGCCATGGTTACTAAAAATAGAATTTTCTGAGAAATTCCTGTAAAACGCTACTCCTTCTACAGTTTTAGTCTCATTTCAATATCACTTGGCACACAAGTAGACTACACTAAGATACATAAAATAGTGAATCGGTTTTTTGATTTCAATGAGCAGTGTTGCAATGGTTACTAAAAATAGAATTTTCTGAGAAATTCCTTTAAAACGCTACTCCTTCTACAGTTTTGGTCTGATTTCATTATCACTTGGCACACAAGTAAACTACACTAATTTACATATAATAGTGCATCGGTTTTTTATTTCAATGAACGGTGTTGGCATGGTTATAAAAGTAGAATTTTCTGTGGAATTCCTTTAAAATGCTACTCCTTCTACAGTTTTGGTCTGATTTCAATATAACTTATCGGACAAGTAGACTACACTAAGATACATAATTCTGTGCATCGGTTTTTGATCAGTACAAACCAGTAGAGCTACAGTCTCGACAGAGACTTCTGGTTCCTATATATTCCTATGTAAAACTTGGCCGAATGTAAAACTTGGGTCGGTCATTTTGGCCCCACCCTAGCCCCGGGGATCATGATTTGTATAAACTTGAATCTACACTACCTGAGGATGATTCCACGCGAGTTTCATCTTTCCTGGCCCAGTGGTTCTTGAGAAGAAGATTTTTAAAGATATTTCCTATATATTCCTATGTAAAACTTGGCTCGGCCATTTTGGCCCCACCCTAGCCCCGGGGGTCATGATTTGAATAAACTTGAATCTACACTACCTGAGGATAATTCCACATGAGTTTCATCTTTCCTAGCCCAGTGGTTCTGGAGAGGAAGATTTTTAAAGATTTTTCCGATATATTCCTATGTAAAACTTGGCTCGGCCATTTTTGCCCCACCCTTGCCCGGGGGTCATAATTTGAACAAATTTGAATCTACACTACCTGAGGACGATTCCACACGAGTTTCATCTTTCCTGGCCCAGTGGTTCTGGAGAAGAATATTTTAAAAGATATTTCCTATATATGCCTATGTTAAAACTTTGGTCGGCCATTTTGGCCCCACCCTTGCCCCGGGAGTCATGATTAGAACAAATTTGAATCTACACTACCTGAGGATGATTCCACATGAGATTTATCTTTCCTGGCCCAGTGGTTCTGGAGAAGATTTTTTAAAGATTTCTCTGTTATATTCCCAAGTAAAACTAGGGTCGGCCATTTTGGCCCTACCCTTGCCCCGGGGGTCATGATTTGAACAAACTTGAATCTACACTACCTGAGGATGATTCCACATGAATTTTATCTTTCCTGGCCCAGTGGTTCTGGAGAAGATTTTTAAAGATTTTTCCTGTATATTCCTATGTAAAACTTGGGTCGGCCATTTTGGCCCCACCCTTGCCCCGGGGGTCATGATTTGAACAAACTTGAATTTACACTACCTGAGGATGATTCCACATGAGTTTCATCTTTCCTGACCCAGCTGTGGTTCTGGAGAAGATTTTTTAAAAATGCTTAATTTTTAACAAATTCATGATTATCTCCCCTTGGAAAAGGGCGTGGCCCTTCATTTGAACAAACTTGAATCCCCTTCACCCAAGGATACTTTGTGCCAAGTTTGGTTGAAATTGGCCCAGTGGTTCTTGAGAAGAAGATGAAAATGTGAAAAGTTTACGACGACAACAACGACGACAGAAAACGGACAAAGAGGAAAAGTCAAAAAGTACACAAATTGGCCTGATTTCAAAATAGGACAATTTTGCCCCTGGATATATCTATAGACTACATATTTTTTCAGAACAACTTTCTTTTTTCAATATCTCTTTCATATTTTCTGTAAGAGGTCTTCAAAATAGCATATGTATATGGCCGAATTTCGTACATTTTACGGAACGTCATAATGACGTTGTGAATTTTTACACTTCTCAGTTCTCATAAATAAAGAGGTTAATATTTATTAATTAATAAAATTTTAACAAAAAAGTGTTTTACAATATATTCAAATAGTACTTCAATATTTTGTTAATAAAAGAAAACTTAATTAGAAATGTTAACGTTAGGTATAAACAAACTTAGGTACATGTACAAGTGAAAATGACAGCGTGTCCGTTTAGTGCCTGTGTGTTTATCGCGGTACACGGTACATTGTAACGTTTCATTATGGACATTGATAATGTTTTAAAATAATAAATTTATTAATAATTTACACAAACTTTATGCATTTGATATTTTAATCAACCTGTGTATAGCCAAATCGAGGAACGTGGCAACCGGAGGGGGGGGGGGTTAAATGTTAAAATAAAAATAGGTACCACATATAACGTAGAGAACAAGTGCTGCGTTTAATGTTTGTTCCTCATATATACATGTACGAGGGGTGTAAGAAAAATTCGCGGACAAGTTCTATTGTGAGCGTGCTATTTCCACGAAACAGGTCAAACTTTCCAGATAAAATCTTAACCCTTTTCCAATTGATATACAAGAATTTGCTTGGTGCTCTCCGTTGATTATTGAAAAATATACAGCTTTTTTATTTTGATAAAACTTGCTTCACGGAGCATGCCACATTTTGTCAAGTTTACATTACAAAGACTCTTTATTAAAATTAAAAATTGCACAATTGTAGCGCAAAGACATGTATGATATTTTACCTGCCGCTAAAGCATGCAGGGAACGTCACGTGGAGAAATTTTGAACTAAATTGGAGGGTATATGACTGTTTTATAGCCGTTTATAAATGATCAATGCGTAAAAACACAGCCAAAAATCGGAACGTCATTGAGCGTCATGGAGCACTGCACTACGTAAAAATTATGTGTGCAGACAGGAAAATGTCTAAAAAGAGATTAAAATGTTCAAGATGCTGCCGGAAATTTCCTACATATGCAAAGAAGAAGTTTTCAAATGGTTGTAGCTTCACAAGAATGGAAAGAGTACATTTTGAATGATTAACTCAATCGATACTTCAAAACCCCCCTTATCGCATGGACGTTGCGTTGCGCCTATATAGTTT